TAGGGTTTAGGGTTTAGGGTTTAGGGTTTAGGGTTTAGGGTTTAGGGTTTAGGGCAATAAGTCTTAGGGCACGGTTCTTTTTTTGGGCGGGGGGGGGGGGATTTGGGTTTAGTTTTTTTTTGAGGGGTGTTCAGAGCCTGGGGTTCAGGGATTTGCGGGGATGTTTGGGGCTGAGAGTGTTCAGGGTTTGCGTCTGGGTCTCCGTCTGGGTATGTAGGGCTGAAAACTGTTTGCTTAAGAACCCCCCAAGAATAAAAGTATAATCCCTATATTACCCTTGAAAGGAAAAGATTTCACTTTTTGTGGGGTTCTTAAGCAATTCGTAGCTGAAAACCTGGGTTACCAGTTGCCCAGCATGGCGTGTGGCTTTTTCGCGGCTTCCCTAAGATTCCCTAGGTACCTACCCCCCCTTGAACTCCCCTCCCTTCAGAGCTCCATAATAAACCTGAACCTTGAAGCCCTGAACCTAAATCCCCAAACCCGGAATTAGGCCCTAAACTCCTGGGACCCGGAACCCCTAAAACCCTAAACCCCTTAAAACCCCTCAGACCCTTCAATTTCCTGAAAACCTAAAGCTCTAAATCCCTAAAAGCCTGAAAACCCTTAGAGTGTACGGTTTATAGGGTTTAGGGTTTACTCCTGGAACCATAGGTTTTAAACCCCTGATACCCTGCCCTGAACCCTAAAGCCTAGAGTCCGGATGGAAACCCTAAACCCGAAACCCTAAACCCGGGTGAATTGCCGGGTTTCAGCGGGTCAGGGTTCATCCGTCATCCTTCCGTTTGCAGGATTCGAAGCCTTTTCTGAGAGGTTCTACCAGATGTTTCGGTTAGGATTAAACATTGTGCTTACCCATAGCTTTCGCTGATTACGATGCCCCCCTGAACCCTAAGCCCTATGCCCCAAGCCCTAAGCCCGAAGCCCTAAAGCCAAGAGTTTGGGTACTCAGGCAAGCATGCTCTGCTGGATGCATGCGACTTGACTCAAAGCCTGAACCCCAAACTGGTCCCATACATGCTCCCGCAGTTCCCAATACGTGCTGTGATATTTCTTGGGGGGGGGGGGGGGGTGTTGACCTCCCTAAACCGTAAAGACCCCAAGCCCTAAGCCCATATTTTGCCCATATTTTCGGGTTCATAGGGTACTGTGGTGTAGTTGCACGTAGGCTTATACGTACCCTAAGAAGGGTTATAACCAGTTCGAACTATAGTTGCCCTTCCTAAAGCCCCACTTACAACTACCCATGAACCTCCAAGTATAGGGTTCAAAAATGCTGGGTGGAGAGGGTGGAGAGTTGTATAGCGGGCTCGGTAGTCGTTCAAGTAAGGGCCCAGGAATGACGATTCAGGGCCTCAATGTTGCGGGGTTTAGGGCTTGAGGGCTTCAGGGCTTTAGGGTTTAGGATGTTTGTGTTTTTGGGGAGGGATCAGGGAGATGGGAATCCAGGGCCACCGCCACGTATCTCTTAAGTACCCTAAACCCTAAACCCCAAACCCGAAACCGTTTAAGTGATCGCTCCCAAGTTCTTCCCGGTGTGTCTTTGGAGGTCCTTGGAGTTGTTTTGCATTGTGGGACAGACCAACTGTGCAGCACTTCAAGCAATGGTCTCTTTCAGGTGTCAGCCCTAAACCCTAAACCCTAAGCCCTAAACCCTAAACCCTAAACCCTAAGCCCTAAACCCTAAACCCTACACCCTAAACCCTACATGCTTGGAGCAACGCATTTGATGTTGAGGGTTATCCAGCGCCCTGCTCCCTCGTTTTCACCGGAGCCCGGGTTCCGGTCCAGGTCATTTTCCAGCCTCCAACTCGGCCCCTCCATTAGGGCTCAGGGTTTAGGTTTAGGGCTTGGGGTTTAGGGTTTAGGGTTAACGGATGAACGCCACGATCCTGGGCCGAGGCTGCTCGCGACGCTTCTGCACGGAGCCACTGAGACCTGATGCGTACCCAGGGATCAGGGTTTAGGGTTTAGGGATATAGGGTTTAAGGATGTAGGGTTTAGGGATATAGGGTTTAGGGATATAGGGTTTAGGGTTTAGGGACATAGCCCAGGTGGCACAGGGCTTCTTGGCAGACAATTGCACGTTTTTTGAACCTTCGAAGTGGAGTGGTCTCGTCCCGTGGCTTAGCATGACATGTTCAGCTTGTGCAAACCTTTCCTGTCAGAAGCCACCCTGTACTTGTTTTGTATCTTGAGGATCAGGCTACAAGCATTTACGTCCCAGAACGGGGCGATTCGCATGTCCCCCTTATACCCTAAACCCTAAACCCTAAACCCTAAACCCTAAACCCTAAACCCTAAACCCTAAACCCTAAACCCTAAACCCTAAACCCTAAACCCTAAACCCTAAACCCTAAACCCTAAACCCTAAACCCTAGCCCTAAACCCATAGCTGTCAACTCCTAAGACCTGAACCCGAAGAGCCACAGAAGTTCGGCTGCTCCCACCTTACAGCAATAGGTGCCGCAACCGACAAAGTGCTGGAATAGCCCTCAAGGTAAGCCCTGCTTTCAGGTCCTAAAACCCTAAAACCCTAAAACCCTAAAACCCTAAAATCGTAAACCCTAAACCCTAGTAACACCATAAGCCCTAAAGCCGAGTCTTCGATCCGGTAGTTTATCGGTTAAGGGCGTTTTTTTTTTTTTTTTTTTTTTTGCGGCGCGCGTTGGGAGGTCAGCGAACTTCATAGAGGACTAGGCTGCAGGCACAGCGAGCCCTACGGCTTGCTTTGGGCCACATTAGGGTTTAGGGGTTTAGGTGTTTAGGATTTAGGGTTTATGGTTTTAGGGTTTTAGGGTTTAGGGTTTAGGACTAGCCCTAAACCTCAGACCCGTCTGAATCTTCTCCTTGTTCTTTTCCTTCGTTCCATACTAGATTGACTTGCAAGGAAGCACGCGAAGTCATCTAATATCGAACGAAAGGAAAAAGACGAGAGGAAAGCGCTTTATTCATTACGTTCACATGGTATTTCAAACTTATGATTTTCACTTAGTACGAATAAATGAGTTACCAGCTCCTTGAAAACTAATAATAAGTGCCCGGGGCTTACAGTAATGATATGAATTTCTTCACGAAGTTCTTTATGATTGGCTTTTCTTTCGCGATAATCTAAGATCACGCAAACACTGTTTATATCACTTCGAAGTGATGCAAATATACGAATGAACGAACTCATGAAAAGAACAGTCGAGAACATAGTAAAACCATGAACCATGTGAACAAAGTGAACACACCAATCTTTCGTTCACTAATTCGCTCCTTCAATTCGCTCGTTCCTTGACAAGCTTTAGAATTAAGATGATAATAATAATAACATGGACGTGCGAAGAAGAGAGAACCCTAAACCCTAAACCCTAAACCCGAAACCCTCAAGAAAAGAAATCAGGCTGGCTCGGGCCTGGTCGGCATCTTCATCGCGCACCTGATACGCCAGGTGCAGATCTTGGGGCACCTCGGCGCAAGTTTTTAGGGTTTAGGGTTCAAGCGGGCCCTAGGCTGGGCCCTACTGGTTGGGACCCGCGTTCAGACTCGTGCCAGCGTTTTGTGAGAAGAATGTGGGTAGTTCTCTAAACTAGGTTCCCTTTTTGAGATCCCTTTTGCAAGGGTGCCGCCTTACAATGGGTACACAAGAATTTAAAAAGGGACCCTAGTTTGAGGGGCCGGCTTCAGGATTTCCTTGAGGGCTTTAGGGTTTTTGGGTTTAGGGTTAAACCCGAAACCCCAAACCCTAAACTCCAATGCGGTCTTCCATTGAGGTGCCCCCGGAGCCTGAGCCATTACCTACTGTTTGTTTCTGGGTTCCACTGGAAAGTTCCCAGCTGCACACCCTCATTTCCTTTTTTTGTCCGGCCTCTTTTCTGTAGAGACCAGCAGCGCGTGCTTTTGGGAATGATATGGGCCCCTATGACTAGGTTTGGCTACGACCACGGTGGCTTCCTCGAGATCGCTAGCGCTTTTTGGCTGCCTCTTCGGGGTTTTATGGGTGGGTTCATATGGCGACCAAGTTTTAAGGCTTTGGGAAATTTGGGGTTAAGTGTGTCGGATCCACGTGTGAACCGTCGCTTGCGAGCCAATGGGGCGACTGCATTGTTCCATGATGCAATGCAAAGCTTGTCGCTGTAGACAAACACCCACAACAACAAGCCTGCAATATAGGGGCCTAAATAATTAGAATAGGGATTTGGGGGGGGGGGGGGGGGAGAAGGATATTTTTGCATATTTATAAAGGGGCCCTCAGGAATACTACTAGCAATTATTCCGACCCCGCCCTCAGCCCGCACGTCTCATTGCGACATCGGTTCCAGGAATTTGGATGTTAGGATCCATGGCCCCAGATCCCATGAAGCTTCCACCAGGTCAGACAGTTTCATGGGTTTCCCTACTCCCCTTAAATAGCCTTCATTAGGCGTAATTATCCCTAAATCGCTAATTATGGGGGGAACCTAGGGGGGTATTATAGAGGGGCGTAGGGGAACCCATGACAGTTGTATAAGCCAGGGGCTTGTATCCGGGTGCAGGTTGAGGATCAGCGCTTGGCAAAAGTTGTTCCGATAGTGCAGGCAGGGTGTTGCGAGGGTGCTGAGTTCGGCGCACGCTTGATTCTTTTGGCTTCCCGTCTCCTGCGCCCTAAACCCCAGGCAGCCCGACCCAGCAAGCAGCCAATCCAGTGGCTCTCTTCGAAACTATGCTCTGCCTTCCCCTGATATGCGACCAACGAGTGGGATGCCCATTGCGCTTGCGGCCTGCAACCCTCGACCCTATGTAGACCTTCTGCACCCCGCACCCGAAGCCCCTGAACCACTAACCCTAGAACCCGCAACCCTGAAAATCCCAAATGTAATCCCTAAACCCTGAACCTCTACCCGGGACCCTACTTGCCTACTACAGACTAGTAGTAAGTACCCCCATTTAGTAGGTATAACCCTTAAAACTCCAGGTAAGCCCAAGACCCTACCACTCACCCTCAAATCTTCTCCCAGGAGTCCACTGCCCAGCGCCGAATGCTCTCGGTAACCGTTGCAGGGGTGCGGCTCGGCGGGTTCTCAGGGCATTTCAATGGTACTAGGGTTTAGGGTTTAGGGTTTAGGGGTACCTTATTGGGGTTCTGATTATCAGGGAATTCTACTATTTGGCGGACTCTATTAGGGGTCCCTTATTTCGTAAACCTCCAAATTCAAGAGAGCCTGAATAACAACTGCCATAGTTATCCTCCTTTCAGGGTTGCGCATTTACAGCGTTCGAGTTCCCAAGATATTCCCTTTTCTGGTCCCTGTTTTCATTGCATGACAAACAACCCCGAGTATCCGCAGATCACTCCTGCTTCACTTTCGACGCACCAGACTCACGTCTGCTTTCACCCCCCCCCCCCTCCCCCCTACGATTCATCCCTATATCACGCCCTGAACCATAAACCCTGAACCCTAAACCCTCAACGCTGCCCCCTCCCCCCCCCCACCTTCCGGCCCCGTCTGTAAACAGTGTCCAATCTTGGGTCCATGGTGGCTACTACACACGTGCATTTTGGGTATAATCAGCCTCTATTAGAACTAACAGAGGGGAAAAGCCCCAAATGCGCCGCCATGCCCGTTTGAAGCCCAAAATGACATTGTCGTTCTTATCACAGGAACCTACTTTCGGAAATGCCGGTATGGATATATGAAGCAGGGTTTATATTACTGTTCTTGGTGAGTGTATATAAGGTTCCTTTTTAATATTGGCGAGTGTATATTCTGGGTGTCCTTTCGTACAAGAAATATAAACCCGACTTCATATGGATGCATGGCACATGGAGCCTTTGGTAAGGATTGGCGCTGGCGCTTGGTACTGGCTGCGTGGCCGGGAGACATATATCGTGGCCCGCCTTTCCACTGGGTGTTCGGGTTAGCCGCCCAGCGCCTAAGCCAGAAACCTAAAACCCGAAGCAACTGCTGCCGAACGAAACCCTAACCCGCAAAACCTAAACCCTAAACCGGTTTTTGGCTTCGTGGCTTGGGGAGCCCTGCAAGACAGAAGAACACACACTGTTTCGCCCTAGATCCCTAAACCCTCCTAGCTTGGAATCCCTAGGCCGAAAGAGCCCAAAACCCTCAGCCCTAAACTCAGCTTTGTAAGGGTTGGGCTTAGGGGGCTCTTGCGATTTGATTGGGTTTCGGCGTTTAGCAGGTTTTAGGGCGTAGGGGTGCTTTTGATCTAAGCCCTAAACCCACAACACTAAACCCTAATCCCACCCCAACCCTTTTAAAGGGCTTCAGGGTTTAGAGGCTTTTGGCCAACGGGGAGGTGGAGTCGTCGTGGACTCCGGAAGCCTGTGGGGCAGGGTTTAGGGTTTAGGGTTTAGGGTTTAGGGTTTAGGGTTTAGGGTTTAGGGTTTAGGGTTTAGGGTTTAGGGTTTAGGGTTTAGGGTTTAGGGTTTAGGGTTTAGGGTTTAGGGTTTAGGGTTTAGAGCTTATGAAGGGCTAAGGGAGGTTTCCCCTCTGCTTGCAAGGTGTCTGTGGATGAATCCTTGCGAGGCGGGTGGGAGGGGCGATCGCTCCGCTGGACATAGAACGTTGGTCTAGGGAGTAGAGAGTGTAGGCAGTGCAGGGTTCAGGTGGTGCGGTTTTAGGTTTGGGTTTGAACATGTCAGGGATTTTGTGACTTTGTGAAACCCTAAGCCCTAAATCCTAAACCCTAAACCCTAAACGTGAAACCCTAAGCCCGAAGCCCTAAGCCCTAAATCCTAAACCCTCAACCCTACACCCTAAACCCTAAACCCTGCAGGGTGTTGGTTTTGGTTTAGTGCTTGGCGTTGCCCACCCTGAGACCCGACGGTCGCAGTGAGCCTCCAGCCCGAAGCCCTTGAGGGTCTTGAGGGCCCTAACCCAAGACCCCAGAGCCCAAACCCCAAACCCCAAACCCTAAACCCTAAACCCTAGCCCTAAACCCTATACCCTAAACCCTAGCCCTAAACCCTAAACCCTAAACCCTAAACCCTAAACCCTAAACCCTAAACCGCATGTATCAAGCCCGAATCCCCCAGAAGAAGGAGCCAAGATGCCGCCGGCTGCGACTGTGATGAATGCCATGGTGCAGGCTTGGGGTTTAGGGTTTAGGGTTTAGGTTTAGGGTTTAGGGTTTAGGGTTTAGGGTTTAGGGTTTAAAGGGGTTAGGGTTTAGGGTTTAGGGTATCCAGGGGCCTTGTAGGGGGCTGGGCGTTTTGTGTCTGTCGTTTTTGGTGAGTTTGGAGGTGTTCCATTTTTTGGGGATTTCGGTTTGCATGCACTTTCGCTTGGAGGGCTTAAACGGCTCGAGGGTTCCTAAACCCTAAAGCCTGAGCCCTAAAACCCTAAAGCCTAAACCCTATTACTACATCCTAAACCAGAAACCCCAAACCCTGAACCTAAATCCTAAACCCTAAACCCTAAACCCTAAACCCGGATGTAGGGGTACACGTTGCAGAGTAACAGCTCTATGAGGATTGTTCCCGTGGTCCCTGTGTCAGGATGTCGTCGTGGCCCTCGGTGGCTCGTTTGGCCGTGAGGCCTCCGCGTGATTGCATTCGGGTTTAGGGTTTAGGGTTTAGGGTTTAGGGTAACCCCTAAGAATTACTCGGTTTCAGAGGCTTCAACAAAAAAAACCTGTAGGGGCCCAAAGATGCGGTGGAATTAGAACATGCTTTTCAGGTCTTATGAGTCCTAAACCCCAGATGCTGTAGTATATAATATGTGTACAAATATCTTTCTCTCTGTCTCTTCTGTGTTGTTTTCATGTACAGTAAAACCAACCGAAATTCAATTTTACATGGAGGCGGTCCCCATATAATCATAGGAAGTACTCCAAGTGTTCCCCAACAACAGTCTTTCCTTCTCTAGGTACATGGACCCTTGGGGTTTGAATTCTGAATGAGGGGTTCTGCGCGCAGGCCGCTCCGCGTGAGATTGCTGCCATGTGGGGTGGCATGGTGGGTGATGCCCCTGTCCTTGCAGACAGCATTCAGGGTTGAGTCACTGAGTGGGAATCGTCCTTCAAGGTTTAAAGTCTTAAGTTCTAAGTAGGGTTCTTATCTGTGCTGAAAAACCATCAGCAAGGCTACTTTCAGATACGCATGAACCTTCAGGTGAAACTTGAAAGGCCTGCACCCTGACCCTAAACTCCAAAACTTAACCTCCAAACCCCGGTTTCGGAGATTCTCTGGTTTGTGTAGAGGCGTACGCGTTTTCGAGAGCTTTGGGAACTGGAGGCATGAGGAGGGTGTTTTTGAAAGAACAAGATGTGTTTTTGTGTTGGGGAGGGGGGCGTGGTGTGGGTTTTTTGTGTTTGCATGTTTAGGGGCCCAGGGCAAAGGGCTCAGGATTCTAAGCTGTGGGCATGCATGGTTTAGGGTTTAGGGTTTAGGGTTTGGGGTTTAGGGTTTAGGGTTTAGGGTTTAGGGTTTAGGGTTTAGGGTTTAGGGTTTAGGGTTTAGGGTTTAGCGTTTCGGGCTTCGGGGGGGCTGCTGGGGTTCAGGTTGATTGAGGCTTATCAAGCCCGCTTAGACTTGCGTTTGTGGCCCTGGAGTAGCAAACTCAACTCTCGAAGCCGATATCAGGCACTCCCAGCACGGTTTAGGGTTTAGGGTATAGGGTTCAGGGTTCAGGGTTCAGGGTTTAGGGACCCACTACGATTCGGCAGCAGGCTTGGGAGGTTGGTTTTCTTGCCATCCTCCACCGTCTTCATGAGCAGCACATCAGCCCAAACACAACCGCAAAGCACTCCAAGCAATGTAAACCCAAAAACCCTAAACCCTAAACCCACCCCAGACCGAGGCGTTCAGGGTGTCGTCGGAACAGCGCAAAGTGCTCCTTGGCCCGTGCCCGCAAGCCTTGGAAGAGGGCTTGCGGGGCTTTGTTAAAGGGGTCGGAAGAATTAAAATAAGGTTTTTGGGCGTCATTGTAGTACATTTATAAGGGACCATAAGGGGATACTATCAGTAATTGTCCCAACCCCTGGGTTCTCATCCTTGGAGGTTCATGGGTAGTTATAAGGAGGGTTGTAAGTTGGGGAACCTATAAACTTGTAGCCTTACTTGGGGTACTTATAGCCGTACTTATAACTACCCAGGAACCTCCGAGCAGGTTCAGTGGAACCTTTGAATTGACGTGGCTTATAGGGTCGTGGTGAGCAGCCAAACTGAGTTTTTTAGGGTTGACAAGGTTTGACCCTGTATCCCGATCCTTTACCTACAGTTTTGCAGCATGTTTCTCATGATGAGGAAGTATAAGACCTTATATAGCTACACGAGTCCAGTAGGAATGATCTCCTCTGAGAGCTTGAGGTTTCGAGTCTTCGGTTTGGAGGGTTGCTTGGGGAGCTTAGCGGGCGATCCTCCTCCACTCCCTGCCCAAGCAGGGTTTACAGATCCCTTGTTTTGGTTGACCCTCTGGGATGCCCAGTAGTACCCTTATTCCCTTTTTGGGGGGGTTTAGGTTCCCTTATAAACCCGTTTAAGCAAAAAAAAGGCACCCTTTTTAAGCCTTGGTTACTGGGCAGCCTAGCCCTTAGCCCTGGAAATACAGTAAGAAGACACTCAGCAACTTCAACAGCTTGCATACCTATCCCCCCTCCACCCACCCCCCCACCCGCGCTCTCCGAACCTTATAAATGTCCCCCCCAAGGCAAAAAAACCTAATTACAAACCCTATCATCCATTGCGGTTTAGGCTCTAAAGGGTTTAGGGTTAGGGTTTAGGGTTTAGGGTTTAGGGTTTAGGGTTTAGGGTTTAGGGTTTAGGGTTTAGGGTGTCACATGCAAGGCTGGTGGCCTGCGGCGCCGGGGCTGGCTTGGCGGCTGCGCCCGGGCACAAAAGAATGAGTGAGCCATGCAGGGGGTCAGGGGGTTTTGGGTTTAGGGTTTAGGGTTTTGCGGGGATGCAGGGGTGCCGGGGGGAGGGGGGGTGGTGGTGGTAATGTAATCAGTGTGACCCTTATTTTTCTCCCCAACGCTTCCCCTACTTAGGAAATCGCCAAGCCGAATTTCGCCTTTCCCCTCACCTCTGGGCTGAAGGGCCTTTGCTTTTGCCGACCTGTTTGAGTTTAGGGTTTAGGGTGTAGGGGTTTAGGGTTTAGGGTTTAGGGTACCTTACGTGGAGGTTCATGCGTAGTTGTGAGTAGGCTTATCAGTATCCTCTGAGATTCCTACTTATGACTTCCCATGAACCTCCAAGTAACAAACCCACATGAAAGAATGGCTCAGGTGTATTCGGTGCCGATCAGCGGCGGCTTGGCCGGGGGGGGGGGGGGAGTTTGATCCGGTTTGCAAGGGCTGCTTGTTGGCTATCAGCCCCATGCATATTCAAATCCCACTAAACCCTAAACCCTCAACCCTAAACCCACACCCTATACCCTACCATCCCCACTCCCAGACACTGCGGGCATAGTTTTTGTAGGGCTTACCGTAGCAAAACCAGACCTTGATGTCAGCTGTGTTCGTGGGTTTCAGCTCAGAGGGTCTGGGGTTTAGGGTTTAGGGTTTTAGGGTTTAGGGTTTAGGGTTTACTTCTTAGTCCAGAGCCAGCTGCTGCTATAGGCGTTTTTGAGAACGCTCACCCTGAGCTTGTGCACCCTGGGTTTAGGGTTTAGGGTTTAGGGTTTCGGGTAGGGCTAGGGTTTAGGGTTTAGGGCTTAGCTCCTGGGCCCTGAAGCCCATAGGCCCTGGAAACCCTCATTGCCAGGCCTTGGGAGGTTGGAGTCTCGAAGGATGATGTTTTCGGAGGTTCAGAGAGGCAGAGGCTTGAGGATTAGGGGCTTTGAGGGCTTTGAGGCACAGGTCTTCTGGAAAAGAGAGAGAGAGAGAGAGGGAGCGGGAGACCTTTCCTGCGGAGGGGTCCCTGGCCCCAAGAAAGAAAGGTTTAAGGTGTTAGGGGAGAGGTTGGGGTTCGGGGGGGGGGGGGGGGGGGGGGATATCATGGTTGGGGTTTAGGGCTTAGGATTTAATTAGGGTTTAGGGTGTAGGGTGTAGGGTTTAGGTTTTAGGCTGTAGGGTTTCGGGTTTAGGGTTTAGGGTTTAGGGTTGGGATACCTTGGGGATGTGTCCTTAGCCCGAGTCCTCCCAAGTCCCCAAAAACCCACAAGTTGCAGCGTCGAAGCTGTTAAGGGCCCAAGGCCTCCAGAGCCGGGAGGCCTGGGGTGCACCCTTTTTTGGGGTTTAGGGCTTAGGGTTTAAGGTTTAGGGTTTAGGGTTTAGGGTTTAGGGCTGGGACCCAGAGCTCTCATGCCATCCCCTCTCAAAGGAATGCTCTACACCATCGAGCACGTGCCTTGTTCCAAGGAGTCCCGGTGCCCTGCATCGGTGCAAGGTTGGGAACATCCCAGGTGCAAGGTGTGTTTTTTTTTTTGCAGAAATAGCATGTTTTATTATGCTTATGTATACCATTCTATTTCTTAAACAGTATTCTTATGTTTTTATTCCAGTACCAGTATTATTGTATGGTATAAAGGTCTATACATATGTTACTCTTGTCTTATGTTGCGATTAGTATATGATTCATGTGTTTTCGAAATATTCTTATACTTACATGATATGATTCATATATTCCTTTTTGTTGCCATTATTCTGATCAATTTGGTTTATTTTCGTATTCTTACATATTTTTGTGAAATATCATTATACTCCCATGAGCTTCGCGTATTATGTTAGCATTTTACTACTTGTGATTTATGATTATACTTCCATAGTGTTGTTATATTATGTTGTTCCGTTGTTCTTATTCTTCTTGTTCTTCTTATTCTTCTTATCATTCTTATTCTTCTTATTCTTCTTATGTTGCTTTTTTTCGAATATCAGTATACCACCCCCACACTCGTCTGTAGTCGCTGTAGCCCTGAGCCACCATTGTGGCCCAGATGCTCAGCTGGGATCTCTCCCCCTCAGCGGTGCTGCCTGCCATGATTACGTCTGCAGCCGCCCGGCCGAACTTGGCGAGGGTTTAGGGTTTAGGGTTTAGGGTTTGGGGTTTAGGGTTTAGGGTTTAGGGTTCAAAGGTCGAAAGGTTGCGTTGCTTCAGGGCGTCATGGTTCATGGGGTTCTGAGGGTTTGTGGCTGAGGGCCTTTGTTGAGGAGTGTGTTCCTTGTTGAGGGTTAACAGGGGTTGGTCTACAGGGTTTAGGGTTTAGGGTTTAGGGTTAGGGTTTCAACTATAAGCCTTGAACCCTGGACCCTGCAGAGGGGGGGGGGGGGGGCTTCGCGCATTCTTAAGCTTGGCAGGTAGATAGAGTCCCATGCACCTTTGAACTTCCTGGTTGCTAGTAGGGAAGTAGGAACATTATCATCTCTCAAGGGGTCATGTGCGCAATTTGGTTCCTAGTAGGGAGTTCGGAAACCTAGGTTCCCTATTATAGTCTCCCAGGGGGTCATGTGGGGGGATATGCGGTCCCTACCCGTTTCAGAACAATGACGACCCATTCTTCTCGTGGGCACAAATTTTAGCTGAAAGACAGGACCCGCTCATGTTGAACATTACCTGCATCCCACTTAGCTGTTTTTTGGTGGAGGGTGGCAGAGCCTGGGAAAAATAAATGGCGAGGACACACCAAACGATAAAGTGAAACTCGGATGCCCGCACAGTCGCCGGTGCGTGACGATGGGTTGATGCCTGGGCCACAAGTACTGCTCAACACCCCTGAACCCTAAACCCTAAACCCTGTTCCTCGAACCCCGAACTCCTGTCAGCCTCTTGAGCTGCATGAATCGTCGAAATCAAGGGATGAAGACTCGTGCCCCTAAGGTTGTACCCCTAGAGGTTCCCGTTAATATACATACTCCTAATATGGCCCTTATGTTGAGGGTCCAAGGTAGAACCCCTAGACGAAAGCTGCACTGAGGTGGCCACCTTGGTGACAAGCACTACGGTGGAGACCCGCGGATTGCCACACGGGCAGAAGTCGTGTTGTGACAGAGCATTTTGAGGGTTTGGGGCTTTGGAACCATAGACCCAAAGGCCGAAGGCCTAAACCCTAAACCCCAAACCCTAAACCCTAAACCACGCTTTGGCTTCGTTTGGAATATCGGCTGCATAGGAGGGCGATGCTTTCATAAGACCTTGTCTGCCAACAACTTATGAATTCCTGGCTGCATGGAAGGGGTGCATGCGCAAGACCGCAGGGTGGGGGGGTGGGTGGCTGGAGGGTGGGTTCACGGTTCGGTGCGGTACGGCAAGCCTCCTGCACGGTTCGGTGCGTTACGGCGGAATTGTATTGTTGAAACGCCCATGATTGTTGTGATCCCCCAAATCCCTGACGCCAAAACCTTAGTGTATGGTGTTTATAGCACCAAGGACCATCCCAGAAAGTTTCGAGTGCCCAATTCCGACTCAGTCGGGATGACCCCTAAAGCCTGAACCCTAAACCCTAAACCTCAAACCCTAAACCCCACACCCTAAACCCTAAACCCTGATGACAGAAACACTAGCGATAAGAATGCTAGAGGTGCGCCGGCAGCGGCCTTGGCTTAAACCCAAACCGCTCCCCCCATGGCCCAGGTATTCCATGCCGTGCTACAGCACCCTGGGCAACAGTAGGTTCAGGGTTTAGGGTTTGGGGTTTAGGGTAAGGCTTAAGTCGTAGAGTATATATATATATATATATGTCCATAGGTTTAAGGTGTGAGGGTTTCGGGATGCTAGGCCTTCTGCAACTCCGGCACTCATTCTCATGCAATGATGATGGTGTGTCAGGCCCTTGTGATTGCAGTGCCGCTGGTGGTTTTCAGTGTGAAACGCATTCGGCTTCGGGCTTTGGTTTCGGGTAGTTCCAGCAACTTCCAACTACACCAGGCGCCGGCAGGAAATCCTGGGTTTTGGGTTTAAGGTTTAGGGTTTAGGGTTTAGGGTTTAGGGTTTAGGGGTTTAGGGTTTAGGGTTTAGGGTTTAGGGCCACAAGGACCCAGAGTAGGCTCCGATTGCCTCCTTTTAGGGTTTAGGTACCCGCAAGAGCCTGTTTAAACCAAAAAGGGCCACCCGTTGTATGCCTAGGTTACTCTTACCCCAAGGGTCCATGTACCTAAATCGGGAATACGTGGGCCTCAAAGTACTCCCTGCGCAGGGACTTTGGGGCCCAAGTATAGAAAACTGAGGGACAAGGACTCTTAGGGTTAGGTCAAGCCCGAAAGCCTAAACCCTCAACCGTAAACCCTAAACCCTAAACCCTAAACCCTAAACCCTAAACCCTAACCGTATCTTGGTATCTTGTCATGCCGTGCTCGTAACAACTCGTATGGGCTACGAGCCTACATCATGCCAAGGCTTCCTAGCCTGAGCTCCGAGCATTTCCAGCCTGTAGGGTTTAGGGTTTAGGGTTTAGGGTTTAGGGTTTAGGGTTTAGGGTACCTGGGGGAAGGGCGGGGCCGAGATGAGGGTGGAGGGGGGAATACAACAACGCTGCCCCTTTTCTAGCCCCTATGTAGTTTGATCAACAACTTTCCGAAATAAGCCCTCATTCAATGGGCCCAACATTAGATCTGAATGTTGGGGCTTTTGTTGGACATCGATTCTTCTGTGTTCCTTAGAGTTCAGGTGTGCCGAGGGTAAGCCAGCACCCGGAGGCTCTGAAGGGCCAGGCTTCCTTGGCTTGTGTACCTAATGGCTCCTCACGTAGGACTGTTGAGTGTAGTATACTACAACCTATAAACTAACCCCAAAAGGAACTGTATTGAAGCCTTGAGCTAGGGCGCATAGGGGCTTGTAGGTGTGTAAAGGGCCTTGCGGGTTTAGAGGGCTTCGGGTTTGGGGTGTGGGTACAGACGGCTTGTTTGAAGGGCCATGGGTACTTCACAAGTAGTGTGGTAAGCAGGGAAACTGTACTTCTGAACCTAGTTAATGGTGAAGCTTCGCGCAACCCAGATTTGTTCAACAGCGCATGAACCTTCAAGGAAGGTAGTATGTCGACCGCGCTTGGAGATGGACCCTTTGTCCTGTACCATTAACAAGTAACCAATCGAGCACTCCCCTCATGAAACCCTAAACTCCTTAAGGGTTTCCCGTTTCTTGTCGGGGGACCCAAACCCCAAACCACAAACCGTGACCTTAAATTGCGATACGTGCGGATGTGGCAGGGTTTAGTGCCTGGAACCGCAAAAATGGAACAGCGAATCGGCACACTCATAAGGGCCGGAGCAGTCTCCAAGGTTCGGGGTTGAACAGAAGAATGTCAGCAAGTTTGTGTGTGTGCGTGGGTGCGCGTGCATGCGTGCACCTTAAACCCTAAAAACTGCACTGCAGTGGCCTTTTGTGCTTAAGATTTTTCTTTGCAACTCCATCGGCCTTGACGGAGCCCGCTCGCTGGCCCAAGCAACTTTCTTGCAGCAGTTGCGCCGTCTGTCGTCAAGAAAACTACGAAAACTCTAAACCCTAAACCCTAAATCACCCGAACTTGGGGGTGTCGGGTTCTGGCCTAGACTGCAAGGCACGCCGGGCGTATGCGCGAGGCTTCAGAAGCAGAAGAAGGGGAGTCAAAGGTCCTCGAAAGTTTCAAGCAGGGCTTAGGATGTTGGGTGTATACGTACCGGAGTACTCATGTCGGCTGCGGACGACTTGCATTGCGAGCTGATTAGGCAGCGAGCAAGAAGTTCAGGACTCATAATCTCTGCTTGACGGCTCGTGGGTAGTTGTAGTCCGCAAAGTTTGGGTACCTCGAAGACTTTAAAGCCACAGCCCAGTCTGACTGTAGCTACCCTGCTTATATCCCTAAACCCGAAACCCCAAACCCTAAACCCTCAACCTCATCCTAAACCCTAAACCCTAAACCTTAAACCCGAAGCTCTATGAACCTTAAACCCTCCCTGTGTTGGTCACAAGCCCAGGCGCCGAGTGACTTGGCAGAAACAAAGCTTTGGGCCCACCGACGTCTACGTAGCCCCTTTTTTGGTGGGTTTAGGGTTTAGGGTTTAGGGTTTAGGGTTTAGGGTTTAGGGTTTAGGGTTTAGGGTTTAGGGTTTAGGGTTTAGGGTTTAGGGTTTAGGGTTTAGGGTTGTGTTTCCCAGTCTGAAAGGTCGCGGGCTTGCACTGTGCCATCTTTAGCGCAGGTCGCAGTTTAGAAAGTTTGCCAAGCGTACCACCTATGCAGTCCCGGCAGCTGACAAAAAGACTGGACTTCTTTGACTTCAGTGTCGCCCCAGCCTAAACCGTACTGGAAGGTTAAAGGATAAAGCCTTGCTTGAGTTTCCAAGGCAAGTTCTGGGAGACCTGAAAAAGTTCTGCATGTGAGTGTGTAGTGTGTGTGTGGGTCTGGGTCTGGGTCTGGGTCTGTGTCTGTGTCTGTGTCTGTGTCTGTGTCTGTGTCTGTGTCTGTGTGAGAGGTTTAGGATATTTAGGGATTTAGGGGTCTAAGGGTTGCAGGCTTTGGCGTCGCCAGCAGTTAAAATCTGGACGTTTCGGGGCCTGGTAATTCGACAGGAATACGCAAAAGCTTAGCCTTTTTTCATTCCTTGTTTTTGGAAAGCTTGGATTCCCCCCCTAGACCCCAAACCCTAAATCCTGAGCCCTAAACCGTAAACCCCACTCCGCCCAGGCTTCCTTCCTGGGAGATTATTCTCTGGGCTGCTATGCGGCTTCGGTGTGAATTCATCCAAGTTAATTTTTTAGGGTTGGATCCTAAGTTTTCAGCCAGTAAACACTAAGCCCCCAACACCTGCTCTTAAACCTCAAAGCCTGCACGTTTCTGGGGTTTGCAGCAGTGGTTTCTCATCATGAGCCGCATTCTCAACGGTCTAGGCATGGTCTTTTGGGACTGGGGGCTCTCGAATGTAGTCTACTACGGTCAGGATGCAGACGCACCGGCCGGTCTGCTGCAAAAGATTCTGCGTAGGACGATTTGGAGTGAATGGTCAAGCCATGCGTTTCCCTAAACCCTAAACCCTAAACCCTACAAAAGGGAAGGTTGACATGATGGAGGCTTGGGCTTGCATTGCGAAGGGGGGATGAGGCAGGATTATGTAGGGTTTAGGGCTGTAGGTGTTAGGGTTTAGGGTTTAGAGTCGTAGGGTTTAGGGTTTAGGCAGGTTTATGGTTATAAGGCCAGGGTTCAAAAAAATGCGGCTCAGAACTTTGGACACATGTACACGCTCACTTCAATACTGCACCTGCGCTTGTAAAACTAACGCGGGCGGCCGGGACAGGAAGAGAGAACAACAACAATCCCTGAACCCTGCAGCAGGCCCTCAAACTTGGATGTTCAGTAGTGCCCTTTTTCCCTTTTTGCGGGGCTTAGGTTCCCTCAGAATTTTCCTTTATGCAAAAACGGGCACCCTTTTTGATCCTAGGTTTCTTGGCAACCTGGCAAACCTCAAAGTCCCATGCCTTAAATACCCGACCCTAAGCCGGTGGGCCCAGGTAAACCCTTGAACTCCTAGAAACCTTCAGCCCTAAACCCCAGAAAAGATGGAGCACCCTCAGCCCTACATTTGTTTAAGCCCTGAATCGGAACCCTGAAAACCTGAAACGAAGGAACACCCTAAACCCTAAACCCTAAACCCTATAAACCCTGCATGGCCGAGGATCGGCCCTGTGGCTGGCCTCGGGGCCGTCCCTAGGAATGCCTTGGCTCGGCCGGTTCGTTGCTTAGGGTTTAGGGTTTAGGGTTTAGGGTTAGGGTTTTAGGGTTTTAGGGTTTTGGGGTTATGGGGTTTGGGGTTTTGGGGTTTTGAGGTTTTGGGGTTTTAGGGTTTTAGGGCTTTAGTGGTTTTGGGGTTTTGGGGTTTTAGGGTTTTAGGGTGTTAGGCTTTTAGGGTTTCAGGGTTTTAGGGTTTCAGGGTTTTAGGGTTTTCGGGTTTCAGGGTTTCAGGGTTTTAGGGTTTAAGGGTTTTGGGGGTTTTGGGGGTTTTGGGGTTTTAGGGTTTTAGGGTTTCAGGGTTTTAGGGTTTTAGGGTTCTTAGGGTTCTTAGGGTTCTAGGGTTTTAGGGTTTTAGGGTTTTAGGGTTTTGGGGTTTTAGGGTTTTAGGGTTTCGGGTTTAGGGTTTTAGGACCTGAAGCCTAAGGCAACAGTGTTTTCCAAGGTTTACAGGACTTGAAAAATTTGGGACGTAGGACAATGAAGGGCTAACTGCGCGGCCTTCTTATCTTGGGCCTTTATTGAAGACCTTCCAGGGAAGTGATGTTGAGGTGTAGTAGGGTTTCAGGGGCTAGCTTTAAGCCCTAAACCCTAAACAGGACCTGAGACACTCAGCTCTATATCCTAAACCCTCATGTGCCCTAAACTTTTCAAAGGCCCAATGAACCCCAATCAACTTCAAGCCCTGAACCCTAAACCCTAAAAACCTAAATCCTAAACCCTAACCCCCCTAAACCCATCTAAACCCACCCTAAACCCTAAACCCTAAACCCTAAACCCTAAACCCTAAACCCTAAACCCTAAACCCTCATGACAGCCCGAAGGCGCTAGTCGACCCCAAGCTGCAGCGAGCCCCCAATCCCGAATGACGACCCCACGGCCTACTACTCCTAAGGCTTTGGCCCAGAACCCTACTGATTAAGCCACAAGACCCTAAACCCTTAGCCCTAAACCCTAAACCCTAAACCCTAAACCCTAAACCCTAAACCCTAAACCCTAAACCCTAAACCCTAAATCCAAATAAGGCCTAAGCCCTGATGAGCCCTGGTCAAGCCTAGAAGCCCGAATCCCGTGCCGCATCGTTCACCTTAGGGGTTCTGCGTAGGGAGTGAGGGGGTTAGGTACCTTGTATCCCCCGCTAGAGTACCCCGTTCAAGGGGATTCTCTAGGGTGCCCAAACCCTAAGCCCCTGAACCCTGTACCCTCTAAAGGGGTTTTTGAGGGTACCTAAACCCTAAGACCCCAAACCCCCCCCCCCCCCTAAACCCTAAACCCGAAACCCCCGAAACCCCCCTTCCCTTCCTGGAAGCTGAGGCTGCCTTCCGACGCTTCATCAAGTTCGTCGAGGCGGGGTGTTAAAGGGGGGTGTTGAGGGCTGAGTTTAGGGTTTAGGGTTTAGGGTTTAGGGTTGGGATGCTCCCCCTTCTCTAGCAGTCCTTAATTGGGATATCCCTAATAAGGACTGCTAGAAGAAGGGGGAACATCCCATGTTTAGCTTTAGTTTTAGTTTTTGTCTTTTGTTTGGGGGTGGGATTGGGGTGGAGGTCTCAGGATTCAGGGTTTGTGAGATTTACGGTTTAGGGTTTAGGGTTTAGGGCTTAGAAGACCTTTCTCCCCCCCCCCCCCCACCGCGCACCCCCCGCCCAACAAAGCATAGTCTTGTCAGCGGATAGCCGAAGTAAACCCTGAGAGCCCAACTCGAAGCGCGAAGCTCTCCCAGGGGTTCAAGCCATACGGCCGATTCCCCCTGGAATTTGCCGCTGCAAACGTGGGTCCCTGGGCCTAACTCAGCTTGAGTTTACCTAAACCCTAAACCCTGAACCCTAAACCCTAAACCCTAAGCCCTAAACCCTAAACCCTAAACCCTAGTTTAGGGTTCAGTCCTTGGGTCTTGGGGTGGCTGCTTTGACGGTTGGCCTGTGCAAGGTTCCAGGGGTTTAGGGTTTTGGGTTTAGGGTTTAGGGTTCAGTGCTTTGGGGATATTGTGCCGTTTCGGGGTCACTTGCCGGGTTTCGGAATCGGATTTCCAGGGGCCAGAAACAAGCGCCCCCCCAGGTGATGGCACCCTACAACCTCTAAACATCTCCAAGACCCTGCGGGCCTAAGGTTTTGCGTTGTTGCGATTACATGCAGGGGCTGCTTTTTCAATATCACCAGCGATGATCTCCATAAGCTTGATAACCAGCACATATACGAACTACAATCAAGGAGCCTGAGCCCGAACCTCTAAGGCTGGTTATTTGGGCCCTTCATATGGCCCCTTTCCTCCTTTAAAGGGTTCTGAAGTATTTGGGCCCTTGGATTGATTTGGGGTATATGGGGGGGGGGGGGGGTATATAAGGGGTCCTCTTTTAAGGGACCATACCAAGGACCCCAGGGCTCTATGTAGCCCATGTGTTGCTGAGTTCTACCGTACCGCATGAGATTTCGTTGATGTGTAGGGTTTGGGCAGCATAGGTATGGACTGGGGACTCAACAGGGTGGCTATAGCGTTTCAGTGTGTAGGATTTAGGAGGTTCTGGTGTATGAGCCTTTGAAGTTATCTTCGCAGACCCACGTCCAGGCCCAAGATTCCGACGTTGAAGGAATGTGCCTATTAAACAGTCAGTCGATCAGGGCCTCCTGTAGAGTAGTTGACTGTATACTTAACCCCCCACTCAGAAGTACCCCTGAACCTCCAAGTAGCCTTAAACCCTAAACCCTAAACCCTAAACCCTAAACCCTAAACCCTACACCCTACACCCTACACCTAAACCCTAAACCCTAAACCCATCAACCTCCGAAGGGGGCTCTCTGGATCTTCCGAGGTGACAACGTGTGGCTGACGCGAGACGCCAACGGGAGCATCTACCGGGAGCAAGTGGCAGTTGTCCGAAGCTTGGACTAAAGTACTTGAAAGCTTAGGGTTTAGGGTTTAGGGTTTAGGGTTCAATTAGGGTTTAGGGTTTAGGGTTTAGGGTTTAGGGTTTCTGGATCCAGAAGCCTCACACCCCTTATTCCCGAAACCCCTATCTCTGCGCGTTGCCTGCGTCCCTCGCCCCTTCTAGCAGGAAAGGCAGACGGCCTCATCTTCGTTCAGGACCGCCCGGGCATTGATTGTAGAGGGTTTACACTGCAGTTGACGTCCTGAACCCTAAACCCGCAGACCAACCCTGAACCCTGAACCCAAAACCCTAAACCCCCAAATCCCAAATCCGAAACCCTCGAAGTTTTCGGGTCAATCTTGTGTGGGAGGGAGAGTGTAGGCAGGTCGCCAAACCCTTAGGCGCCCGAAACGTAAACCCTGAGCAATGAATAGAATGAATGAATGCGCAAGAATACTAAAAGTGTAGTGAATGAATGAGGGCGTTTTGTAATGAATAAGTGAAGCACGAAAACGCCTGAATGATTGAACGAAACAAGTGAGCCGACATGGAGGTGCCATCAGAATCCTTTTGTAGGAGCTCTTGGGATTCAAGAACCTGTTATCCTTGGCGAACCACAAATCAAGGGTTAACCGATGATTGGTCAAAAAACCCCATTAATAGTGTAACCGCTGGACAAGTTGGCAGTTCACCGCACTCTTTGAGATCTTCCCACACAGTAAAACCGGCCCGTGAAGAAAGGGGAATGAGTGTCATGCGTCCCACACCCGGTTAGTATTAATAAAGCGTGAACAATGTGAACGCAAAGAATAGAAGAATAAGTGAACGAAGTGAACCCCAAAAACCCAATAAATGTACTATATTATAAGCGTACTGTGCGCATGAATTAGTGCATTTGTTGGGGCTTTTGGTATTGTCTTCGTGTTCTCCTTTATGACCCCCTTTTTCCCCTATTATCTTCTTTCTTTCGCTAATTCACAGATCACGCGTTCATTTCATTCACTTGTATCTGTTGAGATTAGTTGAAAGAAGATAATAGTGTTTAAGGGGCGCATAAAAAGAGAATACAAAGAGCGCCCGTTCGCAGGCTCACTTATTCTATTAACAAAGGCCTTATCATGAGAGCTATAATCCTATGGTCGCGAGAAAGGGGTGAGTGAGCTGTCAACCATTAATTGAGATCCTAAGCCCTAAACCCTCGTAGTTTCAAGCATTACTCGGAGGTTCATGTGGAGCTAGAAGTAGCCCCATGGGCTGAGGGTTTATCCTCAACCCCCTTTAACAAAACACGATGAAGCCCTATGGAAACCCGTCAGACCCCTAAAAGCCCACCCGAAATCCTAAACCCTAAACCCTAAATACTTAATCCTAAACCCTAAACCCTAAACCCTAAAACCGAACCCTGGTGTCTCTGAAGGACCGGCTGGGAGGTCAACCCGAGGAGCTGGACGAGACGGACTGGGAGCAGGTGGGTTTAGGGTTTAGGGTTTGGGAATTAGGGTTTAGGGTTTAGGGTTTAGGGTTTAGGGTTTAGGGGTTTGCGGGTTTAGGGTTGAGGGGTTTAGGGGTTTTGGGTTTAGGGGTCTAGGGTTTCTATAGGGTTTAGGGTTAGGGTTTTGGGTTTTAGGGTTTCTATAGGGTTTAGGGTTTAGGGTTCAGGGTTTGTGGTTTGGGATTTAGGGTTTGGGGTTTAGGGTAAATCCGGCTGTGTTCCATAGGTCCATTCGGGCTTAGACTGCATCGGGACTATGTTTTGTTTAGACAATCCCCAAGAGGATGTGCACACATAATGTTGTCAAATGGCTGCAAGGGGAGTATCGTGTCTCTGTCCTGTAAGCCTTAAGCCCAAACTGAGTTTTAAACCCCAGACCCTCAAGTTCCTGGCCGTTCAAATCTTTCTGGGAGTAGCTGAATGTGAAGTTCTGCACTTGCGGGTAAGACGGCACAGGCCATGCCCTAAACCCTAAAGCCTGCAACGCTAAACGCCCAAGACCCAAGAGCCCTAACCCCCTTAAACCCCAAGCAACTCAGGCCCAAATGGCAAGTCCCCCAAAATTATGGTCCCGTATGGGGAACCACAAGCTCCACATTGCCATAGGAGCCACCAGCAAGTATTAAATTCAGCGAACAAGCGCCAACAAGCACGCCCCTCTACTGTGCAACTCCCAAACCCTAAGCTCTAAACTCCCCTACAAAACCTTAGGCCCTAGACCCTCAAGCCCCAGACTCCCCCCTCCCCCCGTTTTCCCCCAATACCAGGCCCAAGCAGAAGGTGATCGGGACTGGACCATCCTTATCTTCATGCCTTTGCGACTCGGACAGACGCGTTTGGGGCTCTGAGGCCCAGAGCAGGCCCCTATTCCCTTTTCTTCGTGCTTCGGTTCCCTTTTCAGCCCCGGCAAAACGAAAAGGGCACCCCTTTTCTTCCTAGGTTCCTCTCGGGTCTAGGGTTTACGGTTCAGGGGCTCATGTAAGATGTTCTTTGAACAGGGCTTTGCAGGATCTGTGTGGAGTGCCTGTGCACTTAACAAGGCCTTTGTTCGGATGAAGCACGGGTTGAAGGTTCATGGGTAGCTATACGTAGGGTTATACGTACTCGAAATAAGGTTATAACCAATTGTATCTACAGTTTCCCTTCTTATAACCACACTTATTCCAGCGACAAGTTCCTTGGCCCGTTGTTCTTATTGGCGCACCTTTTTCAGGTCCTTACTATCAGGGGAACCTGCTCTTTGGGGGTCTATTCGGGGCCCCTTACTATCGTAAATTCCCATACTCCCCCGGCAGCAACTGCAGCAAGCACCAGCCCAAGAGAGCGTCTCCTCAATCCCCCGGAGGCCCACCGTGCCGCAGCGGTGGCGTTGGTAGGTCTTGGGATTCATGCGGGTTGTTCCGGTTTTTTGGTTCTAGGCTTTATGCCAGTTCTTTTTGTTCAGAGCTCAGGGCAGTTGTGTTTGTGGATGTTTTGGTTTAGGGTGTCGGTATGCTTGTGCAGTTGCCCCCAATCTCGAGGTCCTTTGTGGTGCTCGCTGTTCTGAGCCGAACATACCCGAGCCTCCTTGGCAACGGCCGGGCGCTGGCGGAGATTGTGACTGGGATCGCCGACTAGGAGGTTCATGGGTAGTTAAAGGTAGGGTTATACGTAGGGTAACTGTACTTATATCCATACTTAGGGCACTTCGAACCCTACTTTAACACCCTGAACCCTAAACCCTAAACCCAAAACCCCAAACCCTAAACCCTAAACCCTAGACCCGAAAGCACCAGCTCCCACAACGAGGCCATGAAGCGCCAGCGCCAGACCTGGGTTCTTGGGATGCTCCTGGTGTGTCTCGGCTACCCTTTTGGGTTTAGGGTCTAGGGTTTAGGGTTTAGGGTTTTGGGTTTTGGGTTTAGGGTTTAGGGTTTAGGGTTTAGGGTTTAGGGGGCATAAGTACCCTAAGTAAGGTTATAGCCAGTGATAAGGTATTGTAGCTACCTTTCTTTAAACCCCATGTGCAGCTACCCATGGACGTGCGGGCATCCGACAATAAGGCTTCTATATTCCCCCTGAACCCTAAACCCTTTCGGGGAGTTTCTACAGTAAGGATGATTGTAATTTTGGGTGCATCTTTGTCGTTTTGGGTTCTGAGTTAGATGTTTGGGGTCTTTAGGGCTTCGGGCTTAGAGGGGGAGGATGCCGTGTTTTGGGAGCTTCCTTGCAGCAAGCCTCTGTGGGGTCCGACAGGGCTTCAGTTGAAACATGTCTTGGGGTTGGCTGGTAGAGGTTGCCATGGGAAACTAGCACACACACAAACGTGTGTGCTCAAGGTTCACGCCCAAAGGCTATCCAGAATCCAGTAACCGTGGGAACTCTACAGCTTAAACCCTATAAACTAAAAACCCTACACCCTTGAACTTGAAACCCTGTACCCCAAACCCTATTCACCCCTAAGCCCTACCCTGAACTCCTAAAACCCAAACCCTTTCAACCCCTAACCCTAAACCCTAAACCCTAAACCCGATGGTCAAGGCTCAAAGCGCTGATGACAGCTGCTGCGATTGGCGCGGGCGCGGCTGGTGGGACGCTCACGCCCTCGGTCTCCTTGGGTGCCTTGATATGAAGCAGGGTTTATATTACTGTTATTGGTGAGTGTACAAAAGTTCCTTTTAAGATTGGTGAGTCAATTGGTGAGTGTATATACCGGGTGTCCTTTTGGAGGTACAAGAAATATTTAGCGTGTGTAGGGATTATCATGAGGCTTGTCTGGATTTTTCGGCGTGGGGTTTACAGTTTGGGGTTTTTGCATGTTTGTGTTTAGGGTGTGTAAGAACCGTCACGAGGCTTTTGGGGGTTTTTGGGCCTCTTTGCACGTTTTCGCAGGGTTTCTTCGGGTTTCTACAGCTCCAACGTCCGAAGCCTGGTGTTCAGGGTTTAGGCCTGCGCTCTGGGACCTCCATTCTCGTGTTTTGGGTGTCGTGGGCCATTCAGGGTCAACGACCCTTGCCTTGCAGTGGGTCTACTACAAACCCTAAACCCCTAAACCCTAAACCCCTAAACCCTAAACCCTATAGGGCCTTGACAGTGGGTCTACTACAAACCCTAAACCCCTAATCCCTAAACCCCTAACCCCTAAACCCTAAACCCTAAACCCTAAACCCTAAACCCTAAACCCTAAACCCTAAACCCCTAAACCCCTAAACCCTAAACCCTAAACCCTAAACCCCTAAACCCTAAACCCTAAACCCTAAATCCCTAAACCCTAAACCCTAAACCCTAAACCCCTAAACCCTAAACCCTAAACCCTAAACCCCTAAACCCTAAACCCTATAGGGGGCTTGACTGCATAGGGGGTCGAGGCCTGGGCCTTGAAGGTTGAGGAACCGTCACTGTTTCTGGGTTTAGGGTTTAGGGTTTAGGGTTTAGGGTTTAGGGTTTAGGGTTTAGGGTCTAGACACTTGTGGAGCGAGTTGTGGAACAACCAGGCCTCTTCCCCTGACACATCGCAGGTGCAACACTGGGCGCTATCCTGGGTGAGATCTACCAGCACTTGGATCGAACGTTGAAGTTTTACCCTTTGCGCTTGGAGGTTGCTATTTGGGATGCCGGCTTCCAACCTAGGCACACACTGCTTGGTTTCTGTCTCTAGGGAAGGGGGGGCTTCCTGGGCGAAAACGGAAGATCCGAGCACAGCTCCGGGAAATGGCCGACTATGAAGCTATGCTGCTGCTAATGTGCAGGTTTGGCAGTAGGCTTGTGAGCTCCGCTTGGAGGTTCATGTAGACTTAATCTCAGGAAGCTGTGTTCAAAACCCTTTTTCAAATGCACGCATACCTTCGCCTTGAAGCTTCAAGCACCTCTTTGCCTTTGAGGGGGCAGGGTACAGCTAGGTTTTATGGGTTCAGGATGTCACTTCCCGTTGCTTAAAAAAAAAACCTTGAAACTAGAGGCCGATCCAGGACCCCCTAAAACCCAAAAAACCCGCAATTTAAGCCCCGAAACCCTAAGCCCAGCGAAGCCGTGAGGCCTACAATCCCAAGCAAGCAAGCTCCTAGATCTTTGAGCACTCTCAGAAGCCCACCTCCGGCTGGACCAGGTCCTACCTACCAGACTGGGCGCCAGCACAGGCATGGCGCGAGTTGGGGGGGGGGTTGGGGGGGGGGGGGGGGTGGGGGGGGGGGGGGGTGGGGGGGGGGGGGGTGGGGGGGGGGGGGTGGGGGGGGGGGGGGGGGGGGGGGGGTGGGGGGGGGGTGGGGGTGGGGGGGTGGGGGGAGGTGCGGACTCCAATTTTGCAGGGTTTTGGGGCTTGTGGCGGTTCAGGGTCATTGCGGAGAGCGGCTCCTTGTACCCTTGTGATCCGAAACGCTCAAGTACTCATGCCCGAACTGTCGGATTATTATTGTGGACATTGGCGCGTGTATCTGTTCAAGCAGTCCGTTGGCAAGCTCAAGCTGAGAGGAAGGAGGTCAGGGTTGGGGCTGGTTCTGCTGGCAGAATGGCTTTCCCGATGTCCGGCATTGGCTTCAGAAGGTTCAGGCTTTCGAGATTTAGATGGGTTTAGGGTTTAGGGTTTTGGTTTCGGGTTTAGGGTTTAGACATTCTCGGTCCATTGGGGGGCGGGGGCAGTTGCAGAACAGAAAAGCAAAGGCTGCAAGAGCCCCACGCCTCGCAACTCGGGTGCAGGATCCGCGGATGTCCGTTGTCTCGGCTGCTGCTTTCCTAGCCGTGGCCATGACGCCGAGCTGAATTTCAGAGCTAAGGGCTCCGGAATTTTCCGGATTAGGGTTTTAGGGGTCTTAGGTTAACCCGACACCCTAAACCCTAAACCCGTATGGGGGTTTGGGGTTCTTTGCGTTTTCGGAATGGCTTAGGGGTCTCATGGGGCCTCGGGCCTAGGATTTATGATGGTTATGACCCGGACCTTGAATCGAGCCTACCCGGTGCCTGTTAAGAATACGGCCCCTGAATCTTCTTGGGTGCCCCCCAAATGGGACAAGCATTTAAAGAGGGTACCCTCGACTCTCAACTTTCCGCAGCAATACTTTCTGTAAGGGTTTCGGCTTTCTGGCCTGGATTCTTGGGGGTCGCAGCTGTAGACCCCTGAAGCCATTGAGCCTTAGTCCCCTGGATTACCGAATGTAGTCGTACATTTCATAGGAATCCTTTTGCAGCTTAAGGTAAAATTATGGGGGGGTTTCCGAAATTCGGGGTACTTTACTGGGGTTGTCCTGATAAGTGAATCCCGCGATGGTCTATATTAGGGCCCCCCTATTTTCGACAAACCCCATATTCGGTACCCTTGTTGGGGGGGTCCCTTTTGATTCTATTCTATTTGGGGGATAAAAAGTACCCCTATTCTGGGAATTACCCCATACTCAGTCCCTGTGAACGGAGTGTAGAACACTCAACATAGTTGCCACAAAGAGCCCCAGGACGGCAAGGGGCTCAGTGGTTCTAGGGTTTAGGGTTTAGGGTCGAGTTTCGGGGGTTCAGGGTTTGTAGGGCTTAGAGGTACCTGAAGGTTCATGGGTAGTTATGAGTAGGGTCTTCAGTACTGTAACCTAAGTAAGGTCTAGGGTTTAGGTTTTAGGGTTCCGGGTTCAGGGTTTAGGGTTTAGGGTTTAGGGTTTAGGGTCTAGGGCAGCTTTTGCCGAGGAACAGCCCCGTCACTGGGCTTTGGCTTCTCATGGAGTTCGCTGCGCAGGGAATTGGCACAGAAGCCTTTCTCGCTCCTTGACACAAGATTTGGATGCCAACATTGTCATTTGTTTTGCTTTCATGGTTTGGGGTTTAGGGTTTAGGGTTTAGGGTTTAGGGTAATGACTCAATCGTACGGTATAGTGTGCTAGGAACGGACATACGGGCTTAGGTAGAAGGTCGGGTTTGCAGGTTTCGTAAGGTTCATGGCCAATGTTCGAAATCAACGGTCAGAAAGTCATGTGTACTTCTAGCCTGGTGTATACCACTGCCCGCGCTGCAAGTTGTTCAACTTAAATTGCGCGACACAGTTACCAGCTTACGCTGGCCGTTCTGAGTGAGTAGACTTTAGGACCCTGCTGCTCCGCAACAGAAGATAACCATTGGCTGGAATTGCCAATGAGTACATGGCCATCCGATAGCCTTTCTTTGGGGTGATACAAAGTGAAGGGGTTGTGAGTCATCATGATGCCTCCTGTCCATCAGCCTCCTCGAAATCAGCCCAGACTGTTGCAGGTTGACTTCAGCCATGTTACTAGTGTTTTATCACCCTAAGGGCCCATGTACCTCATAATTATATACTTGGGCCCAACAGTCCCTGTAAAGCAGCTACGTTAAGGCCCAAGTATTCCCTATTTAGGAACATGGACCCTTAGGGTAGTAGAGGAAGGTCTCAGAACCGGAGCCGATTCCGCAGAACCCAGGTTTGAACCCCGCCCGTCGGCACGACGGATATCTTACTCCTTGAGAAAATCTATGACGCGGTCAAAATTAATGTTGCTCCCGGTTTAGTGTGCCCCCCCCCGCCCCCCCCCTGAGCAGTCGCGGGGGTGGATGGGATTGTGATAACACGGCCCGGGGGCTCATATGTTTTTAATAGGGAGGAGTTTAGATAGGTTCAAAAGGGGCAGCGATGCCCGGTTATCTTTTTTAAAGGCGCGCCACGTGGAATTTTCTTACGGCGCCCGGACGATTTGTCTTTAAAGAGGGACTCCCAAACAGTCAGCATGTCCTGAATAATTCGGCCAGTTTGTCTTTAAAGCAGGGGCCGATACTAAACCGGGTGCAACATTACCGCTTCCTTATTTTAGTAGAAGGGGTAGTTGTTGCAGCAAAACCCCGAGGATCGATAGGGGGCGCGCTAAAATGATGGGGTTGTACGATACGAGAGGATAAAAATGCGGCAGGTGAAACACATGGAAAACGATACGGGACGCGCTAATTGAAAAAAAGCAAGGCTTAAACAAGTAATTTTGACGCCGACTCTTCTTAAGGGTAATATAGGGAATATTATTTTGCATTCTTTTGGGGTTCTTAAGCAAGTAGTAGTAAACCGTCAAGCAGAAAGTTTCTCACAACAGTTGAAAGTCAACACCACCGCATGACAAGTGGTACGAATACCGCAAAGCTGCTCGCTCCAAGGAGATAGAACTTGGGGGGGGGTTGGAATTGGTGACAATCGCGCTGACCGAGCAACCACCGTTAAACCCCCCTGTGATTCCCAGAGAGCCGAAGCCCTGTACTAAACCCTATACATACCCTCAAGGTCCACGCAGGCCCTGAAACCTCAAACTCTCAAACCCATGAAACCTCCTCTCAGGCCCGAAACCCCATGTTCTGTGTCTCAGGGGTCCCATGGACCAAATTCCCCCCCCCCCCCCCCCCCTACCTGAGCTCCCTCTACCAAAAAAGCGCTTCCCCACGAGATCTCTGGGGATTAAACCCCCAAACCCAAAACGGCTAGGAAGAGAGCTACGGGTTGCCTTTAAATTCTAAACCCAGAGGGGTTTTAGAGGCTTGTAAACCAATTTAGGGTTTAGGGTTTATAGGGTTTAGGGCTTAGGGCTTAGGGCTTATAAGACACAAAACCTGCCTTAGAACGGCCATCGGGCAGGCTGCCTTTCAGGGCGACCTCGCCAAGCTACGGCAGTCTGACGGTGCGGTGGGCATGCTGCGCCATGGCCGGTATTTAGGGTTCAAGGAAGTGAATTCAGGGTTCCGGGTTTAGGGTTTAGTGTTGAGGGTTCAGTGGTGCGCAAGGCATCTGACTGAAAGAATTTCAGGACACCTGCTGAAACCGTTGCTTCATGTCAACCGTGGGAATCAAGCTGTAAGGTAGATGCCAACACATACTATAGAAGAACCCCTAAGGTCCCTAAACCCTAAACCCTAAGTCCCTTGACTGGTTCAGGATACCCATGACCATCGCGGTGGTTTGCGCTACGGGGTCCGTGGCGATCCTGACACGGCTGCCCGGGCCTTGGGTTTAGGGTTTAGGGTTGAGGGTTTCGGGTTTGGGGTCTCCCACCCCCCCTCTCTCCCAAACAAATTTTGGGGCGGGGGAAGCCATCCAACTTCAGATCTGCAGCCAGGCCCGAAAGTCCTCAAGCCTTTGGGGGCCTTACGGCCTGAAGCTTTCCTTGCTAGGCTTCCCCGGCGTTAGGCTTATGGCAGGGACCAAAACAAACCTACTAAAGCGAAACGGTCTGGCCCGTGGGCTGCCAGTCACGAGAAGTGTTTGGGGCCTCATGTCGTAAGGAAATCTAAAATAGGCTTTGGATGGAACTGGCCGGGCTTAGCTTCCTGGAGTCTCCGGGCTAAGGCTCTTCAAGATTCCTGGAGCCCAAGTCTCTTAAGGCTTGAAGCCTTTAAGCCAGAGAGAGAGAGAGAGAGAGAGAGAGAGTTGTACCTGAGTTTCGGGAAGCAGCGGAGGGGAACCAACCTCAGACTGCTGCTTAGGCTCGCTCATGAGTCAGACAAACCCTAGGGTTTAGGGTTTAGGGTTTAGGGTTTAGGGTTTAGGGTTTAGGGTTTAGGGTTTAGGGTTTAGGGTTTAGGGTTTAGGGTTTAGGGTTTAGGGTTTCCTATACACAACCCTAAAACCAAAGAAAACGCCCCTCCCTGAAAAGCAAGCTTGTGATCCTAGCGGGTAAACAGAGGCAATGCACAAGCATCGACAAGGACATGTTCCCAAGAAAGTGGCTAGACTACTATTTGCTTGAGAACCCCAACAGAACAAAGAAACATTAATCCTTATATCACCCTTATAAAGAAACATTAATCCTTATATCACCCTTATAAGGAAGGTTTGTATTATTCATTCATTTTCATTTTTCTTGAGGGTTCTTAAGCAATTACTAGTAAACTAACTGTCCGGCCACACCCTTGCCGTAGCAAAACGATTCTCGGCAGGACCCTGGGGCATTTTTTGCATTTGCCCTTGCTGTCTTGATAGCCCAGTGGTTTTCCTTTACCCTTTTTGTTGTTTATGTTTCCCTTCCAAAAGAACCAACCCCAAAAGAGGGTGCCCTTATCATAATATGGTTGCTGGGCTACCATGTTGTGTTTCAGAGGATCATCTTCAGGAAGACTTTGTTCAGAGGGTTTTAAGGGCCATCCTGGTGTCTTTTCCCGAAACCCTGCACTCTAAGCCTGCGAGCGCTATGGAGATGATGCGGGTTAGAGGGCTGCTTGGAGGATATGTTGCGTTTTACTTACCTTGGTGGCGCAGTGGTACCCTTTTGCCTGTTGCTGGTGCTAGGGGTTCCTCATTTAAGCAACCACTCCCAAAAAGGGCCTTAGTATGATCTGGTTGTTGGGCTGCTAAGTTACACGACATTATGGAATTAGGTACCGAGAACCATACTGGCCCATGGTGCCTCTCGGTCGGGTCTTTCATGCTGATGGGGTTTGTCGGATCACGTGCTTTGGGGCATGCCTGAGAACAAGATACCTCCTATGTGTCCTCCGGGTGTCATCGAGGTCTCGGCTGCTCCGCCGTTACTGAACCCTAAGCCCCAACCCGAATCCCCGGAGCCTAGTTAGTTCTGGCTAAAATCAAAATGCAAAAACCTTCTACCCAGGTGCCAGAGACCCGAACCTCCAAGCCCCTCAGGAACCCTAAACCCTCAACCCTAAACCCTAAATGTTAAACCCTTTCTCTTGAGGGTTTCCGAAGATAGGGTGGTGCCCTTTCTGTTTGCAAACCGCCCTTGGTCCGTGCCAAGGTGGGCCTGCATCCATCCCCCTCCAAAGAAGGTGGAGCCTCAGGCCATATTGAGGGGGGGGGGGGGTTTGGGTTTAGGGTTTGGGGTTAGGGGTTAGGGTTTAGGGTTTGGGGTTTGGGGTTTGGGGTTTAGGGTTTTGGGGGGGCTCGATGAATTTGAAGTTCTGGGCTTGCGGGGCGCCATGCCTACTATTGTGGTTGGCGGTTTCGCTGTCAGTCGAAATGATGAATGTCTACGACAGTTCGAATCAAGAACTCTGCCCGACATCGTTCACCGAGTCACCCCGTGAGGCGCTTGGGGCCGAGGGGGAGCCCAGTAGTACCATGATTCCTTCTTTTTTTTTTTTTTTGGGGGGGGGGGGGGGGGGGGGGGAGCGGGGGGCTTAGTTCCCTTATAAACCCCTTCAAGCAAAACACGGGCACCCTTTGTTAATCCTAGCTGACTGGGCAACCTAGCAATGTCCAAGGTCTAACCCCCTCTGCATGTTGCCAAAGGTCTAGTCTTACCATGTGAGTGGTCGTTAACTGGCGGGGAGGTGGGGCAGAGGCTTGTTCACGTAGGACTACCAATTGCTCAAGAACCCCGGAAAAGCAAAAAAGCATGTCTCCTTATTAAGGGTATAATAAAGAGATCTTTGTTTCTTTTACTCTTGTGCGGTTCTTAAGCAAATGGTAGAGAATGAGATTTTTAGGGCTTAGGGTTTAGAGGTTTAGGGTTTAGGGCATTAGGCACCCGGGGCTCGATAGTGCTGCTTGGCACCTGCTTCCCGAGCGGTGGACCCTTTGGGTCAGGAGTTGGGGTATGAGCCGAAGGGTCAACAGCTTTCCATGTTGGGTGCTCTGTAATTCTGCTATTGGTGAGTGTGTATAGGCATCCTTTTGGGGATACGGAGTAGACAATTGAGCCTTAAAAGTACCTCCTATATAGGGGACTTTGGGGCCCAAGTGTATAGTTATGAGGTACATGCCCTAAACCCTAGACCCTAGACCCTAAACCCTAAACCCTAAACCCTAACGAATTTTAGGGTGCGCCTTGCGCGCAAGGTGGAGTCGAGCCCGGACTCCCTGGCGAAGTACAAGCCGATGCCATCGCATCTCGGATGGAGAGACGTTTTGCGACTTCACGGACAATAGTCGCACTTGCAATTACAACAAAGCCACATAAATTCATAAATGAATTAAAAACTAAACAACATTTTAAACAATCATAGTAATGATAATCATAAGAAGAAGAAGAATCATACAAGGTTTCTTAACTTTGGTCATAGCAGTTACATGACGAAAGAAAGCAACCACAGTCGTCCTGCGTTCCGGACTGGACTTTTTGGCATGTGTTTCACCTGCATCCAGTTCTCCTCTGTTGAGGCTTGCTGCTCTAACATCCTGCATTGGCCTTTTGGAAGCCAACATCCTTCCCTGCCCGCAGATCTTGTAGTATCGGCAGCAATTGCAGCAAACCCTGAGAAACATCTGCATACCTTAGTTGATATATACATGCGTACATATAGAGACAGGGGAAAGCAGATAGATAGTTTCTGAGTTGAACTGTAGAAAGGGCTTTGGGTACATCATCCCATGATTGTTGTTTGAGTGGGCCCTCTTGGGGGAGGTCCTAAAAATCAACCAGAGGCCCAGGCCAATCTAGGGTTGAGGCTGTAGGCTGCAGGGCTTTAATCTCCAAGAGGTATCAGCGCAAGAAGGTCTGAAAAGCCTAGGCAGACATACGCATCGTCCGATCTTAAACCCCGAATACCCAAGAGCCTTCTTTGGACCTTAAGAGCCTAAGCGTCAAATCGCAACTCGGGACATCTTAAGGAGTACTGGTAGGTCATGGAGTAGGGTTATAAGTATCCCAAGTAAGGCTGCAAGCGTGGTTGCCCTGCTTATAACCCTACTTTTCTGTGACCAGGAACCTCCAAGTACAGGCCTTAAGCCGCAACTCTGAACGAAGCCACATCCTGAACCCGGAGGACCCCAAACCCTAAGCCCTCATCATCCCCGCAAAAAGTGCCCTTTTGGGGGTTTAGGCTTTAGGGTCCAGGGATTAGGTGCCTCAATAGGGAATACTTGGGCCTTAAATTTCCTCCCATATAGCTAGGGCTTGGGGCCCAAGTATGTAAAAGGTGAGGTACTTGGACCCTGACAGGGATCTGCAAGAAATGTTGCTCTTCCTCGGGTCACAGCAAGATACAGTAGCAGTAATTTGATTTAGTTGATACAACATAACTTACACATACCCCAAACCCTAAACCCCAAACCCCAAACCCCAAACCCTAAACCCTAAACCCTAAACCCTAAACCCTAAACCCTAAATCCTAAACCCTAAACCCTAAACCTTAAACCCTAAACCCTAAACCCTAACAAAACAAAAGAAAGCTCCGGAGGTCACCGATGAGCACCGACCTGGAGCTTGCCGACATGGCTCCGATCCCCAGTGTTGGGTCTCCTTCAGGGTTTAGGGTTTGGGGTTTAGGGTTTAGGGTTTAGGGATTACGTAGGGTTTAGGGTTTCGGGGTCTGTTTGGGGATTTAGGCTGCATAAGGGGTTATTGGGGGCTTCTAAGGGATTATATGAGGTATTATCAGGGTTTAGGGGGTATATGTGACTTTGGGGGGTGTACAGGGGGGTATAAGGCTCTAGATATGTGATTTTTGTGGCTTAGGGTTTAGGGGTCTAGACTTTAGGGTTTGGGATCTAGAGCTCCTTTTGGGATTCATTGGGACCTAGTTCGATCATGGGGGTTGTTCTGAAGAAGACGAGACCTCTTTGCTTATCAGGAGTCTGTTACGAGAGGGAACTGTGTTCCCACACATGGCTTGATTCAACGGCTTCTTGTGCCAAGACTCCCCAACTAAGTCAGCAACCCGACTCCGCTGAGTGGGATTTTATCCGGCCCTGGGTAGGGGCTACTCAAGGCATGGGACGTTTGTTATGTTCCCCTCAAACGACTATAGTCCAAAATAGGGATTATAAGAGGGGGTACTATATTCCCTATGAAGGACTGTTAGTATTAGGGGGAACATCCCAACATGGGACGTTTGGGCCCAAAAGTTCAAGCAAATCAAAAGGTCTCGCGACATGCTTGTCAGAGCTTTCAGACCCGACGACCCCTAGATCCCACTTGGAGGTTCATTTGGGGCTTTCCCCAAATAGGGGTACCCTTTTGGGGGTTCCTATAATCAGGATTATACCTATTTTTGGAAACCCCCATTTGGGTAGTTATGAGTGGGGTTATAAGTAGGGTAACTCGAAAATAAAAGCGGCTACAACCGTATTTTAGGGCACTTAGAACCCTGCTTATAGCACGCCTCCCACCGCCGCAGATCACGCAGCCTTCGCTCCATCCGGATGAGGACTACGCCACTTGGGACTATACAGGACTTGGTTTAGGGATTCGAGCTTGTCCGTAGCCATTTTGGCTCAAGCTTGAGTTGTGAATGCAACATCGCGACAGTAGGCTCTGATACAATCACGCCTTACGTCTCCGAGCAATGGCAGTGTGTGAGGCATGGCCTGCAACGCTGGCAGCCATGTGCCAGGCCCGTGCGCGGAGGCAAGCGGCGAAGCTGGCCGTGGCTGGAACATGGCCCTTGACGCCTCGACAAGACCGGCTTGGAGCGCAATTTAAGTGATGTGGTGAAGCAGCTGGCGGCTCAGAAGCGCCAGGCCAAGACCAGGTCCGCCGAGGAGGGCCGATTTGCGGGAGCTCGGCCTGCTTGGCACCGGCCGGTTCGGAAGCGTCAGCCTCCAGGAGCACGGCCCGACCGGCGAGCGCTACGGGTGGAGCACCCTCCAGATGGAGTCTTACCTTCTTCGCGAGGTTGACATCCAGAGGCGGCTGCGATCTTCCAGTTTCGTGGCATCCTGGTGCCCACGTTCCGGGACGCCGAGAATGTGTACCTTTTCTGGAGGTGGCGCCCGGTGGAGATCTGCACACCTTCTACCACTGGCAAGGCCACCGAGGCAACCTCCCAAGCGTCAGGTTCCATGTGGCCTGCCTGACCGAGGCCCTCGACCACGGGACATGAAGCCGGCGAACGTGCTCCTGGATGCGCGGGGGACACGCAAAGGCCTCGGATTTCGGCCTCAGCAAGCGCTGTGATGGCGTCAGCCGCAGACAGGATCATTAGAGGGTTGTTCTAATCCTCCACCTTTCGACAGTAGGTTATTATATAGTGGTTGCAGTCGGTTGCGCTGGATGAGGCCACACCTTCACATCGGTGGGAACGCCGGGGTACAAAGCTCCAGAGGCCCTTTTCGGTCTCGCAAGTACAATCCAAACAGTGGCAATTAAAAAAATTGCACCATTCGAAAATAGTGGCAGCACTGGCAAGCAGAGCCAAAGCGGGGTTGTGTTCGGGCTGTCTGGGTTGTGTGGGTGGTCGGGATTAGTGCCTTCCTTGTCTTATGTCGACGAGCGCCCGACCCTTCCCTCCCGTCCGAGCCATAGTGCCATTCCTCATGTTCTCCTGCGATTTGGCGTTCTCGGGCACCACTCCCAAATCTCTTGGCTGGACCTGCGCAACACTCCTGCAGCACGTGGCACACCGCTTCGCGCCCTGGCCATACTCGTCCTTTGCTCTCGCGTCCGGCCTTGAGCCCGTTACGGGGTCTGGGTCGTCGTCTCCTCGGCTGCCTCCTTGCTTTTTCCCAGAACGCTTGATTGCTCCTTTCTCCACTTCCTAGCCCAGACCCCCCCGCCCGAGCCGAGCCACAGGCCCTTCCATCCTCCTAAGACCCCCCCCAGCAGGTCTGGGGTTGTCGACTCGTCGCCTGCCGGCTTGGGTTTTGTCCAGAACGCTTGGTGAGTTCTCGACTTCCCTTTTCTCGGGGTTTCTTTTTTATTCTCCATGAGTTACTTCCGATCCCAGACCCCCTTTCTCCAGCCGAGTTGGGTTGTCTATTCCTCGCCTGCTACTGTACGCTTGGTTTGGGTTGCTCCTTGGTTCCCCGAGTTGCGGGGTCTGGGTTGTCTGGTTCCCCTCCCTCCTGCTTTGGGGTTTAGGGTTTAGGGTTGGGCGTCCTGCTCTTTAGGGGGCTTTTAAAGGCTTCAGGGTTGACGCTTCGGGTGTTTCAGGATCTGGGGCGTATTCTGGTATAGTAGTACATATGTATAATAATAATAATAATAATAATAATAATAATAATAATAATAATAATAATCATAATAATAATAATATATATATATAATATCATACACATATATATATATATAATAATATAATAGAATATAATACATATATATATATATATAATATATATATATAATGTATAATATATATATATATATATGTATATGGTACATACAATATATAGTTGGGCTTGGGGTTTTCCGTGTACGGTATGAAGGCTGAACCCTGGACCCCAAAAGCACGGCTCCTTCCCACTCCCCCCCCCCCCCCCCCCCCCCCCCCAATGGCACTGGGGCCTCGCGCTCCAACCCTAGACCCTAAGCCCTAAACCCTAAACCTTAAACCGCTCCGCATGTGCCGTCAACAAGGCGACGCTGCGCACTGAGCGGTCAAGCTCCGTGAACTCCTCCACACCCTTGTCCTTCAGCTATGACACGCTGGAGGAGAAGCAGCTTGTCCATGAAGCTGGTAGACCCTCCCCCGAAACCCTCCCTCACCAAATCTTCCTGTAGCAACCAGGCTGAGGGCGAGTTCTAGAGCACGCACGCCCGAGAGGTATCCACATGAATCTTCAGCTGCACTGGAACCTGAGCGTATCGTGCATGTCGGATGCTAGTTGCCTGGTGCCCGCGGAAGAAGGTTGTCTGTGCTTCTTGTTGGCCAGGTACGTGGGCTTAACTTCCCCCTGTGCTGTTGGGCAGTTGATACTTGCCGCTGAGGTCGCGAAAATCGGCTAGACCCACCATGCGCCACTTGATTAATTTGTTTTTTTTCTGTCGGGCTCCTGTCAACAGCCATGAACTCTTACATGAATGAGTAGTCGATCCTGCATTCAGCAACATGTCACTCCCAGTAAGCCCCTAACAAACTCCAATTCCCAGCCTTAAAGCACATCAAGGACAAACCCTCAGCCCTGCCCTAAGCCCCAGCCCTAAACCTTGAAACGCCCAGTTTGAAGACCCTTGGAACAGAAACCCTAAACCCCTTGAAGCCTTCATTGAATTTAACCACCTCAAATTACCATCTGACGTGCACCCCCCCTCACGCCCCCAAAAACAAAGAACAATGACATAGAAGAAGGCACCGACTAAAGCCTGAATTCTAACCTCTAAATCCCAAGAACACTAGAACCCCAAAAGCCCTGTACACCCTAAAACCCCTTTAAATCCTAAACACCCCAAAAAGCCTTTGAACCCTAAAAACCCTTTGAACCCGAAACGCCCTAAAGCACCTTAAAAACTTAAAAGCCCTTGAAACCCTAAAAACCTTTAACCCTAAGCACCGTAAAAAACTAACAGACCCTAAAACACCCTTTAAAGCCTAGAAAACCTTTAGCCCTTAAAACCACCCAAAACCCTTTAACCCTAAAGGACCCTCAAACACCCTTTACAGTCGGGCGAGGCTCATTTAGCTCCTCCTTCGACCTGGACCTGCCGCAGCTTCACGAGCAAACCATGAAAAGGCGGGTTTGGGGTTTAGGGTTTGGGGTTTAGGTTAGGGTTTAGGGTTTAGGGTTTAGGGTTTAGGGTTGAGGGTTTAGGGTGTAGGGTGTAGGGTTTAGGGTTTAAGGTTTAGGTTTAGGGTTTAGGGTTTGGGGTCTCCCGAACGGATCAGGGAGGCAGTTGCTTGAGGGTTTAGGGTTTCACGGGTTTCTAGGGTTTCTAGCGTTTCTAGGGTTTCTAGGGTTTCTAAGCTTGGTTAGTTAGGTTTCAGGGTTGATGGTTTCTATGATCTTTGCGCTTGGCTAGTTAGGGTTTCGTGTTTCTAGGGTTTCTAGAGTTTCTAAGGGATTTTAGGGTTGCTAGGGTTTCTAGGCTAGGTTAACAAAGAAGGGGGAGGGGCAGAGCGGACAGTAGGGAATTGCAGGTTTAGAGTGCAGGGTTTCGAGAGTTCGTTGTGCAGCCAAAGCAGCTTTCTTGCTGCAGCTCCAGGGAAGTGAAGGCATGACGGTTGTGGGAGCACTGGTCACCCTCCCAGAACCAGGGCGATCTCTGGATCCAGGAACCCTAAACGCTAAACCCTAAACCCTAAACCCTAGACGCATGCGGACAACTTGCGCCGGCGCTGAGCTCCGTGCCTCTGTGCCTTGGGTTTGTGGGTCGACCGGGGGTACAAAATGGCTCAAGTCGGCCTGCGAAAATAAGACTTGAGTGGAAAAAATCAGGAACCTAGCAGTAGAGTAGGTGACCTTTAACGTTTTTGGGGAGTATAATCCCCGTATAATCCCAAAGGTGAACCTTTAATTCTCCCAGGTTACTGGACAACTAGGGGAAAGAAAGACATCCTTAAAGTTCGAAACGAGAAGAATGCTAAGGGTTGCTTCGAGGTTCGATCGGACGGGTTGGCTTTTGAGGTGCTGCTAGGTTTAGTAGCTAAGTGAGCACACTTTACACTTTTTGGGATACTAGAATCCCCTATAGAACTGAAAGTGTACACTTTTTTGGGGCTTATGAACGCAGCAACTAAGTAGGTTGGTAGTTGTTGCGCCAGCAGCATGAGCCTGCACAAGTTCTTCAGTGTTGGTGACTGCCAGTGATAGCCCTGTATCCTTTGCTTTGGCGTAGTTCAAACGTAGTGCTCAGAGGATGCGAGCTGTAAATAATACGTTTTCCCTATGGTTTCGGCAATTGCCGAGCAGTCGCGTGACATTTAACCATGTTGGGGTAGTTCCCCCATAAGGAAACTAAACCTGTAGCTGCCCCAGAAAACTGGAGTGTCAACCATTGTCAACCATCCATCTTCGGACTCTGCAACACAAAGCCAAAAGCCCTCAAACCCTACAACCCTAAACCGTAAACCCTGAACCTTTGAGAGTCCAAAGCCTACGCCCTCACACGCAAAGCCCTGAATCAAAATCAGAGGTCTTCGCGGTGAGGTTTGTCTAGGGGTCTGTACCCCCCCCACCCCCTCAAACTCACAAAGTGGCCACAAGGGACAGCAGCACTTGTACTGTAGGGCTGGGTTCTTTCATGATTGGGATGAAGAATACCCTAAACCCTAAACCCTAAACCCTACACCCTAAACCCTAAACCCTAATCTTGCCATGAACCTTAGCCGGAAGCCGGATGCTCTAAGCCCGAAGTCTCAAAGCTGCAGGAGCTTCGCCAGCCACCTGGCCAAGATGTTGAGCGTTTTTGGGGTTTAGGGTTTAGGGTTTAGGGTTTAGGGTGTGGGGTTCATAGAGTTGAGGGACAGGATCCATGGGACTTAGGGTTCAGGGTTTAGGGTTACAGGGTGTGCAAGTCTTACTAAACCCCTGACCTCTCCACTACACCCCAAGAGGGGGGGGGGGGTGATCCAGCAAATGAGCTTCTTTAAGGGGGTCTCAGTCTTGCATGCTCCTTATGCGTTCGAGTACTCTAAGCCCCCACAGTCTCTCGAGTTAGCTCAGCCTCGAAATCCTGATCGCCCGCGTGCCTCATGTTAGGCGTGTTGTTTCAGCTACCCTGCTGAGCAGGAACCCCCAATACCGAAGAACCTGTGAACCTTCAAACATGAAAATAATTCGTTGTATAATGCAGGAACCCTTTTTGGTACCCCAAGCTATGAGGAGAACTCATCTAGTCGCACACGTGGCCTGGTTTACACCCCACACCCGAGAAACCCCTGTCTTTTCGACAACCCCCCCCCCCCCCCCCGGCCCCCCCAAATGTTTTCTTGAAGTTCTCTAACTTTGTCTGTCGGAGCCCAAGAAGCATGTCACTTAGGCTTGGGTTTCAGGGTTTCGTGTTTCGGTTGCAGGGGAAAAAGGCTTTAGGGAATTGGGGTTATCCGAGGGTTCGGTGGTTGGGTGTGGAGAGGAGTCTTTACACGGGTCTCTTGAGAGAGCAAGCGGGGTGCAGCCTCATAAGCCCCAATCCCTAAACCCCTACGAAGCCCCTAAGCCGGCCAGCTAAAGGGCAGTCTCTCTATACCCCTCAAACCCCCCAGCCCCCTTAGCCTTGCAAAAGCCCTACACCCTAAACCCCAAACCCTGAACCCTAAACGCCAAACCCTAAACCCTAAACCCTAAACCCCAAACCCCAAACCCTAAACCCTAAACCCTAAACCCTAAACCCTAAACCCTAAACCCTAAACCCTAAACCCAAGACCAATCCCCCAGGAGCGAGGTCTGTTTCAGACACCAGCTCGGTGCTGAAGGCGCACGGCGCTGCCTTGTGCAGGGCCCCCGTAGGCTCTAAGGGGTTCAGGGTTTGGTTCAGGGTCAGGGTTTCGGGTTTAGGGTTTGGGGTTTGGGGTTTAGGGTTTTGGGTCTAGGGCTAAATCCTAAGCTCAAGCTCCTGTGTCCGAGGTTTCGGGTTTTAGGGTAAATAAGGTTTTCATTCCTGTAAGGAGCCGTCTTAGGTGCCTTGTGGTTGAGGGAGTCTCTTTGGCAAATCGAACCAAGACTTCCGTGTGTTAACCCTAAACCCTAAACCCTAAACCCCAAACCCTAAACCCTAAACCCTAAGCCCTAAACCCTAAACCCCTAACCCTTATGGTTTGAGGCTTCAGGCTTCGGATGGAACAGCTACACACCAACTCAACCGAAGATCGCCTTTAGGGCCTTGGGCCCCTGGACCCTAAGCCGTGGTTTAGGTTTTAGGTTTTAGGTTTGAGGTTTTAGGGTTTAGGGTTTAGGGTTTAGGTTTTAGGGTTTAGGGTTTAGGGTTTAGGGAAGAAGCAAAGAGCCGGGATCCGGAGCTTGGAGTGTACGGTTTAGGGTTGCAGATGGTGGGGGGGGGGCGCTAGACAGTAAGCTAAGCCCATCTGGAAGATTCCTTCCAAGACTTCGGATCTAGGCTGCTGGGGAGAGTGGAGGGGTTCGGACCGAACCCCAGCCTCGAAAGCCTGCAATCCGAAGCCGGGCCTTCTGATCCCCCCTAACCAACCCTATAAACGGCCGTGTCAAGGGGTTACTATAGGGTCGGAATGATTGCTAAAAATGTTCCTTTATGGTCCCTCTATAAACGTACTATAATCACCAAAACCCTGTTTCAATTATTAAGGCCCCCCATACTATAGGGCATAATAGCCCATGCAGGAAGACACACCCATAAAGCCCCTCTCCGGACTGCGTACATCTGACCCGACCTTGGGCCCCTAAGGTCGGTTTGGGGGACACTTAGTTCAGATTCCCAAGGTAAGATAAGGGGCATGTTAGGTGTGTACTAAGGGCAACCGCTGAGGGGCACAATCTTAGGGGTCGCCCCCGCCCCTCCCCTCCCGCCCCCCCGCCCCCCCGCCGCCCCCCTAACCCCTCCCCCCCCTTTCAGGATTCGCTGAGCACGTTCAAGCTCCCAGCAGATTCCCCGATGCTTACTAAACCCTAAATCCTAAACCCTAAACCCTAAACCCTGTAGCTGCAAGCCCCAAGGCCTTTCTAAAGCCCTGGAGCCCTCTAACCCCAGAGCACACACACAAGCTTCGAATACCTAAACCCAACCTGAGAACGAGGAACCTCTGAACCCCAAAACCCGAAGCCGAGAATTTCGGGTTTGGGGTTTAGGGTTTAGGGTTTAGGGTTTATGGAAGAGCTCTAACCCTGCCAGGTCCTCATGGCTAAAGCCGGGCCGCTTGGCAAAAGTGTCTGCCCTAAGCACTGCACCGACCCCTAAACCCCGACACGCCCTGAACTCTTCCCGTAGGGGTACTTGGAAATATTTGTTGGTTACTATACTCCCTGAGGAACAGTTAACATGGTGATTTTTGCTAGGGTGCCAAGTTCAGTATAGTTCCTGGACCTGGGACCCTATTTGGGGTTTCCGAAACTAGGGGCACCTTGTTGGGGTCCTTACCTTGTTGGGATCCTTATTATAAGGGAATCCTACTATTTGGGCGTCGGTATTAGGGTCCGATATTTTCCTAAACTCCCATTGACCTACAGTTTTAAGTGTTATGCCTACCAAATAGGTACTTACTCCTAATCTGTGGTCAATAGGGTCCCAGGGAGTGACCTTGCACCTACTTGAACAGAATGTTCCCACGCAACACTGTACAAGCCCTTGGCTTAAACATGAAGGCCCAAATCTTGGGACCTGCAACCGAACTTAAACCCTAACACCCTAGACCCGAAACCCTAAACCCTCGGGGGTCGCTTGGGGCGGGTTGGGCTTGACAGTGTTTAGGGTTTCGGGCTTAGGGTTTAGGATTTAGGGTTTCGGGTTTAGGGTTTAGGATTTAGGGTCTAGGGGTTAGGGCTACTTGGCGGTTCATGGGTAGTTGTAAGTGCGGATACAAGCAGCGCAGCCACCGCTATAACCGGTTGTAACCTTGTGTAAGGTACTTCTGACCCACCCTAGCTAGAACTACCGGCGAACCTTCCAGTAGTAGAACATTCTTTCGGGCCCAACGTACCACACCGAATTCCAATAGCAGGTGCGAACTCCTTTTTTTGGAGAACCCTCAACCCTGAACCCTACATGGAAGGTTCATGGGTAGCTACAAGTGGGGCAATAGGTACCCTGAGTAAGGTTTGAAGTATAGTTATCCTACTTAAAACCGCCCATGAACCTCCAAGTGAACCCGGCCGCCGGCTCAAAGCCCTAATGGGGTTTGGGGTTCTGGGTTTAGGGTTTAGGGTTCCCTACCTAAACCCTAAGCCCTAAACCCTAAATCTGAGCCCCAATCCCCGTCCAGTTTCAGGATGAGTGACCAAGCTGCGTGACGTGAGTTGAGCTCGCCGCACGCGGCCTGTGTACCTTCGCCTGCACGCTGAGCTGTATGCTAGATTTGAAGGCATTTGCTGGGCCAAGGGTTAAATAAGATAATAAGAAAAGTATATATGTATGTATGTATATATATATATGTATGTATGTATGCAAACATGTAAGCTACAACTTCATGCAGCGAACTTATGAAAATGAATAAACAAATATTATATATATATATATATCATAAAAAACAATCATACTATAAGCAATAACGATAACACTAA